ATAGGGTGTGTGCGCTTGTATAGTCGAGTGATCGACTAATAATTTTCTGCAATTTTCCAATTTTCTGTAAAACTCCTGAAATTCACAGAAAAAAAGACTTTGTCATTCTAAAGTCATTGTTTTTTGTGTTCAATAACAAAAAATGGCAGAAGAAGTGGAAAAAATGGGGCGATTCCAATGAAAAATTGACAGAATAAATAATGTGGCACGGAAGTGGCTGAACATAATGGGGCTAAATAGAAGTGTTTGGAACAATGGAAACAAAGAGAAAAAAATGAGCAACAACGCACACACACACACACACGTATAGTGAAAAATCGCGAGCTTACGATCGATCAGCCAACAACGGTGCACTACAATATATATTATTGACAATACATTTTGTGAGGCGATAGCGATGAGTGTTACGGCCTCCTTATATGCTGTTTACATACGCTAAATACCATGAATAAAGCATCCAAATGAAAGGAGTGGGGAGAGCGTGCTTTCGCCCCCCTCTCTATCTCTCTACGTCGTCGTCATCATCGTCTTGTAAGCCATTTTGCCAATTTAAGCGCCCGTGTTGTTCAATAAAACAGACATTAAATATTACATTGCAAGCTACATGATTTTTCAAGTGCCATGTCGCTCTGAATGAAATGTGCGTGTACACAAGTGCTCGATTATCGCTTATTTCAACGGTACATAAAACTGCATTTCTCTCTCTTTCTCGTTCCGTCGTGTGTTTGACTTTACGTGTGTGTTTTGATATCAACTTGACACAAACTACGGCCAAACTGAAAACTTAAATATCAATCTTGTCGGGACGTTTGTGCCACATACCATTTTTTTTTCTGCCATTGATGTTGCTGCCGCTTTCTCCTGTCGAGCAACAGCTCGAGCGAGAGAAAGAGCGCAAATAAAATGACGTTGAGCACGGTATGGTTTTTTCCTCCTTCTCTCTCTGTTATTGCTACATGGGAAAATGCAAATATTTACAAAACGTTAAGTCAATAAAACAAAACAACATTCTTACGGAACGAGAGAGAGAGAGAGAGAGAGAGAGAGAGAGAGAGAGAGAGAGAGAGCACGGCACTGAAAATCGAAGCACCATTTCAATAGCTTTATAATGTCGATCGAATGTTTTCTACATATACATATTTTATTTGCGCTTCTACCTAGAACGCTCTATTTTGCGTTGCGAATACATACATTCCCTCGCATCAGGCTCGTCGACTTGCAAGCGACGCTTTCTCTCTCTCTCTCTCTCTCTCTCTCTCTCTCTCTCTCTCTGTGTGTGTGTGTGTATGTGTGTCTGTCTTTTGCCCAGTAAATTTTGAACGATGGCTGTTTGCATTTGTATTTGGAATACAATTGCACATTGGCTCCATTGGATTTGCCAACCGTACATTTGCTTCCGATGCGCTCTATCCGCAATTTCAAGCAGCGTCCAACATCACATGCACATTCACACTCGTCCAACAACACACAATTCGGAATTGAATAATATAAAATACATTTTGGTTATTGTTAAATTGCTGTTGTTGCTATAAATTGCTGAAGTGAAATTGTTCGTATGGGGATGAACGAGAGACAGAAAGAGAGAGAGAGAGAGAGAGATGGAAAACACGGTAGCTAGTGGTAGCTTTTCGTTTTTGTTCGAGAGAGCTTGACTCCCGATAAAATCCCATCGAAACACACTACAATTGTTTGGTGTAACAGTTTAGTTACTTATTCAACGTGTGTGAGAATCGTGCTCTGTCGTTTGGTTGCTGTAGCTCTCTGGCCACAGCCAGATTGCTTGTACATTGGCCATGCATTGTTTATACTTGGATGTGCTTGTGCATGCTGTTCAACCGTGCTGCCAAAGCGCCGCACAACTAAATAGACACACGAGCGAGCAAATGAAAGGACAGAAAAAAGAGAGATGATGGTGGGGAAGGTGGGAAGGTGGGGACGGAGAGAACAGAATCAAATCGTACGTACAATTTGCTCTCATTCACAATGGACTTTATGTGTTCATTTCAGTTCATTTAACTTGTTTCATGTCAAGATTAAAGCATGATTAGGACGACATTTTACTCTTCATCCAAAACTAGCCAAACAACAACTATAAAACATAACACACTCGAACAAATATTACGACTACATAAAATGCCCCGATACAAACAATCACACAGACACGAGGAGAGAAAGAGAAATAAACGTGTGTTTTATCACCGCCATTGCCGCTGTCGTAGTCGTCGACGACCGAATCGAATTGGTAAAGAGCACAAAAACGCAACTCACCAAAACTCAAGCATAAAATAGACCGATGAGATTTCCTGCAAATACCATTCACATGAGCTCAGATTAGTATATATGTGTGTGTGGATACATACAATGTAAGTGTGGACGAGTATACTATACTGAACTATTCAGCCCTGGAATTGAAAAAAAAATCCATGCCACTACATTTTTTTTCTGCCATTGCATATACAGCGCACGGTGTGCTGGCTGCCCCATTTCGATGCAATAATTGCAAACAATGTGTGTACTTTGAGCTATTTTCTATTTTTCCCATTCGGAAGTTTTTCCCTCAGTTTATTTGGTTTTCCCGTGCAAAAGCCTTTCCACACACACACACATACGAATGCTTCGAGTGAGAGAGAGAAGGAAGAAGGGAAAAAAGACGCACACGGATTGTAATCAGAAAAATCGTACAATAATTTATTTACGTTTGCATTTCGCGCATTTTATGGCTCGAACTTTCATTCCATTTTCTTTGTCGGTTGTTTTTGTGTGTTTGTATATTGGTTGGTTTTCAATGGTTTTTGCCCGTCATTTCGTCTGACCAGAGACCAGATATGGCTAACAGGAGAAGATAAATGCAACCTGTATGTATACAAAATTAGTGATTAGAATGGGTAGAAAGCGAGATAGAGAAAATAAAAACGATTACAACACGTTGGTCACGCTATCATCACTTATCGCGCTGCACGCTATGGCCGTGTGTGTGTGTTTGTGTGTGTGCTTGTATTTGGTCGAACTTCTTCCGTGCTGAACCAGCACCAGAACACCATTTTATTTGATTTTCCGTCTAACTATTCAAAATCGACAACTTTTTACCGCTAGTTTTTATTTGTACGTCGATGTTATTGTTGCTGTTGTTATTTTTTGTGTGTGTCATATTTTCCGCTTCTTCCATTCATACAACAAACGTTAACCATTTATGCCGATACACAAACAGCGAGGAAAAACTTCAGGCGATTTTTTTGTTCTGTCATCATTATTGTTGTTGTTGTTGTTCATATCCTTTTGTTTACGACAATGTTTATTTGCCCGGTCGTTCTGTCAATGTCTGATGATGAACAATATTTGCGTTTCGATAATAAATAATTGTAATAACAATGAAAAATTGGAGCGAACATTGGTGGCTGCATGTTCGACAATAATATAATCGGTTGATGAGTTTTACCGTGCACCACCAATCCATTCCGATGAATGATTTCGATTCAGACGTCATTGTCCATTAACGGAAATTTTCAACCAATCGACAAGGGACACATAAAAATGCGTCACATGTGCATGACATCAAAAACTTACATGGACTTTAATTAAATTGACATTGAACACTCACACTCTCCGATAAGCGATCGGCACTTTGTACCTCATCCGCCCACTCTCACACACATTCTGTCTTTTGAATCGCAGGAGGAGAGGTGGCTCCGGGCAAAATGTAGATGACAATGTTTGATTTTAATATTGCATCTCGACCGTTTTATGTTATCAATGTTGAATAATTCAGCTAATTTCACATTACTTTGATGGTGGATGGCCTGGCATGAGCACAACAATTTGGCTACTTTTCCAATAAATATTTGATTGTTGTTTTGAATGACACATACCGCGTGAAATTACCTATAATTTCAATGCATATTGGAATTAATTAAATACGCTGCGAACAAAGGCCACATTTATTCGAGAGGCATCCAGTTTTAATCAAACAAAGAGTGCCGTCACCGGAAAATATCCAATCACCTTTTGTGATTACATTTACCAAACGTATGTGTGTGACGGCAAATAAACTCTTTCAATATTTTAACAATGCTCTAGATAGATAAAGAGAGAGAGAGAGAGAGAGAGAGTGGCGATTCAGTGTTTTTTCCTGCCTACGTAGGTGAAATGTGTCATTACAGCCATAAATCAATTTGAACACTTCAAAGTCAAACGCTTGAAATGAAATTTGCAACGCCGTTGTTCCAAATACATCACACCATATTTTAATTTTCATTCTGGTTCATGTTCTCCATGAATTTATTGTCATTCAGTCAAAGTTGTCGTACATTTTTATGTGTTGAGTTAAGCCTGGTGCAGCGTGAAAATAATTTTTAAATTTATTACACTTTTGCAACTGTAATACGCAGGTTTTTTTTCTGTTCGTTTGCTCGTCAGTAAATTATCAAACTCATTAATCTCATATTTACATGGGAAAAAATGTGTCACCAGAGACTTTTCATTGGAACATCGATCAAAAATAAAGAAAATTTTCCAAAAATGTGTTTTAATATTTTCACAATGATAAAAATATGTGGAATCAAATGGATTAATTACGAGTAAGAAATATATCCACCTCGATTCTAACAGAAAAATGAGAGAATGCCACTTTTATTACAACAGGGCGACAACCTTTTTTCTGTTCATTTAATTTCCATATATTTGCCATTTTTCAATCTTTTTTTTACCGCTGATATGCATTTGTAAGTGCTAATAAAGCGATTTATTTTGTTGAATATGAAAAAAGGGCCCTGTCGCTCACTCTCACCTTCGATAACTATCGACACTGTTGAATACACGGCCAAAATGTGTAGTACTCGACAATTTTCAACCGGCGCAAAAAAAAACAACAAAAAATGAGCGCGTATTTATTTTGGTGTTAACAAATTTTTCATGTAATTCAATGCATTCGTTCGTTCGAACTTATTTTTCAACATTAATATGTTTGTGTTTAATTTTTATGTTTTTTTTTTCTCTCCTTGCAGCGAGTTGTACTAATGCACTGGGCATGGAGTCAGGAGCGATAGCTGATTTCCAGATAACCGCCAGTAGTGCACATGACCCAGGAAATGTTGGACCACAGCATGCCAGGTAAGCGTACATACATTTACCACACTTTAGCATATCACTTCGCGAATAACGAAAAAAAAACACCGAGAGGATGAACGAATGGATACCGATGAACAGAAAAAAAAATGCGAATCATTCCACCCGAATAAAATACTACGCATAAATATTATATTTTACATGATGTTTTGCGATAAACCATTCCACTCACTCGTCGAATTCGTCAGTCGGCCCTATCTCCCACTCTCGCTCATTCCATCGATCGTTTCATTTATCATGCATTTCCATCATTCTTTTTTTCTGCCACGATGCCAATGAAAATGTTTTCCGTTGCTATGTTTGATATTTCTTTTAATGTTTTTCACTCTCTCTCTCCCTCTCTCTCGTTATTTTGCATTTTACGCCGTGGCAATAAATAAATGAAATGTGTACCCAAAACGCATATTATTATTTTTGCATTTATACACATTTTTTTTTCGCTCGCCCTCTCTTCTCGCACGCTTAATATCTTCACAATCCTCTTTCTCCTCGTGTCCATTCTATACAAATATATGAATATTATACAGATTGGAATGTTTCTCATTTATTTTGTTGCCCTTCGCGCTAACAATTCATTCGCTCGTTCGCTCTTCCTCCTGCATTTTGGATTTGGTACACAATTTCATAATAAAATATTTAAATCGTAAATTTTTCTGCTGCTGCTGCTGCTGCCGATGTTGTTGTTTTTCTGTTGTCGTTGTCTCCCGTGTCGTTTCTTTTTCCGTTGCTGTCGTTGTTGTTGTCATTTATCAGATGCTTTGATGGAAATTTTTCACCTCTGTTGTGATTTATAATTAAATCACGGTATTGATGGAAAACGTTGTCAATTCTCTTATCGGAATTTCAATACAGAAAATAAGCAGCGATTTTCCTTCTCTCCCTCTCCTCGGCTTCTTTTTTTTTTGGGTGAGCAACCAATTTCCCATTATTTCGTCTTTTCGCAGTTTCAAATTTATGCGAAAAATGCTGCACGTCTGTGGATCGTTGAGTGGTGGTGAGAGTGATTTGCAGTGAAAATATCGCGCTTGTTAAATTGTAATATTAGTCAAATGGCAAAGTAATGAAAATTGCATTGGTATGCAAAAATGCGAATGAAAATACTTTCTGTCGTTACGTGACGAAGCAGAAATATTCCATGTATTTTCTCATTCAGCAAATATTTGATTTTGATTACGTAAAGGTGCCAAAAAAAACAAGTAAACAACTCACCGATGTGATACACAATTTTTGTGCAATGTTTTACTTTTTTGATTTGTTTCGATGGCGAAACGCTTTAAAAGTTTGCTAGAAATTTAAAAAAAAACACAGGATTTGTATGCACGGTGAACATAAAACTCACTGTGCAAGTAATTTTATATTATTATTGATCAAAAGTGCTCGAGTAGTTTGATCTCTTTTCGTTGAAAAAAAAACGCAGCGAACAAGGAACTTTTCGTTGTGCTTTTCTTCTCTCTTTCTCTTTGTGTGTGTGAGTGAGTGCTGTTGTTTTGCCCGGAAATCTTTTCGCTGAAAATAGTTCGTATCGCTGGCATTGTATAATGTTCGGAATTTGCATTAATTTACATAAAGAGATGCGCACAGAACATTGATTGGAGCAATTGCCTTTCGTACTGTGTGCGTACACACCAAGCTGGAGAATCAGAGAGAGAGAGAGAGAGAGAGAGAGTTTGCAGAGCGCGCGGCACCTGAGTCGGGTTATTATATTGAGCATTTTTCTGTTTGATACATCAAAAATGGAATAAAATTGCTTTCAGCAAAGTATAATTTTGAGTCAGCTTGTTTGTTCTATTTGCGCGAGGAGCGACACGGAATAGAGTGAAAAAAGGGAATAAGAGTTGATTCAGGTAAATGAAAGGTACATGTTGACGGATCATCGAAGCAGGGAGATGGAAGACGCAAGATGCATTAATGAAAAACGAAAATCGTCTAACTTAAATAATGAATTTGATATTCTTTGAAAATCGAGCTTTATCCATTTGGATCGCTTTTGTTTAGCACACTTGATGCGTGCACATCTGTTTATGAACATTACCTTGTGAGCGCGTATTTCGTTCTTCGTCTCCCTTTCCAACCCTCTCTCGTGCTCTATATCTCAACTTGAACGTCTTTCATTTTTCGTACACTGTCAGCAGTATAATTCGCTGGAGTCTATGGATTTCCTCTTTTATTTATTCACCGGAGCTGTGTTCATTGTGCTGTCGACAGCTATGCAAAATCCAGCCCGTGCGAACAACAAATCTCCAGCGCAACATTTTCCATTCGACTTTTCTTCTTATTATTATATTTACCATTTTAAGTGAATTTTAATACAATGGCGAAAAGCGCAAAGAGATATAAATAGAGAGCGAGGAAGAGGGAAATGTGTGTCAGCCATACACATCTCATTGAAGCGTGTCTATGAAACGAGATGCAAAACATCAAATAGATTATAAAGCGATTGCAGGTAATTTCAAAGCGAGCACACTTGGTTTCCAATAGCTAACACATTAAGCACACTCGCTGGGAATTTGTTCCCGCGATTGATCCGGCTCGTGTGAAATTCGAATCGATTGCTATTTTTATGGCGTTTTAATTAAAATAGCCTCACGAAAAAAATGGCTCCATCAATACATTTGTAAGCTCGTAGCAGAAGTTTTGTAATTGAAAACAAACCACCAAAATCAGCCTTGCAAAATAAAACAAATGAGACGATGCGTATCGTGATTCCATCATCTGTTGTGCGGATGGGATGGGCGGTAAGCGTTGCGTCTTTCCATTAGAACACCTCAAGATGAAGCAAGTTCGAAATTTGAATAAACAAACATAATAGCGTATTATCGCATTAAATTCAATCGGCAAAATGGTGTTCGAGTTCCGAGGCCGTACCAAACCAAGATTTACGTAATCGAAATGGTACAATACAAATTGTTTAATGGCATAATCGAATAGACAATTGAATTTTCGACAAAGATGTTGGAAAATTAACAATTGAATTTTGCTTGCAATGTTTGGCCGTCACTCTAAACTTCTTAAATCATCATCCAACAAGCGAAAACCATTGTCTTCGTCATTTTCAAGCCGATTTTGTCTCTTGTGCAAATCGTATTTTCTCCAACTCTTTTCCGTTTCATTTTCGATTCGTTAGTGCCGTTTGATTCGACTGTGCGTTCCATTTTGTGTGTGTGTGTGTGTGTATGAGGCGCAACTAAAATCCATTTTTCCCGCACACACAATGTTGTGCTGAGACGATTTGATTTGTTTCACGAAATTCGAAAGGGGTTTTTGGTTGTCTGGCAAGAAATTTAGTGAAAACTAGCACGTATTCATTGGCGCGGCACATGAAACATTATACGATGGGATTGTGTTACGAGAGAGAGAGAGAGAGAGAGAGAGAGAAAGAGAGCGCGTGTGTGTGTCTCAAGGTAAACCGAAGAATCTATTTGCTAAAATGATGACAGCAAATTCTGCATTTTGCTAGTCGACGTGCGTTCCCAATCAAATCACACAGACGGTGTGTTGTGTGTCTATTAACTTCGAATGAGGCACGAAATTGAGTGGCAATAAAGAGCGTTGAATCGGCCTTTTCAAAACCAAATTTCAGTACCATGTATAAATCAAAATTCATCAGCTGAAAGCTTTTGTTTAAAATTTCTATGAATGTCTTAAGAATGGCAATTTTCATGCAAACGTCGACAACTTTCGTGTCGAATGAATAGCTGAACTATAGCGATGATTGAGACGGGATTGTCAGGTGGAGATAAAGTTGCCGAAGCATTAACACAAGTGATGTCAATAGATGGGCACATTTTTCGTTTCGGAGGGAATGAAGCAAACTTTAGCCGCAAAATTAATGCACATATAAAATTGAAAACCAATTCAAAAGTCTTTCTACCTGCCAACGCAAATCATATCACGATGATGATGGCAAATATTAAAGAATCCTTTCATTAAAAACATCGGCACTAATTAGCTCTCTCGGAGAAAACACCGCAGCATATTTTATATCGAAAATCATGCACACACACACACACAAAATTGAAGCGGTGATGAAAATGATCGCTTTGCGTGTTTTCAGTTCAAAGGCATCAACTGGCAACAATGTGGTTTCGCTCTCTCTCTCTCTTTCTTCTCGGTTGCTGCTTTTTAGTGCAGACATATTTCATGCACGGATTTTCGCCGAAAATTCATGCAACGAGAGAGGTATAAGAGGAACAACAACGACGACGATGACAACAAGTAAAAGAAGGAGAAGAGAAAAAGAAATTGGCAAAGCTCTTTGAGCATTCAATTGCTTTTCATTTCGCAAAGTGGTTGGGTTTTTGTGTGTGTGCGCAGCGGTTTCAATAGACACACACATACACATGCAATGTCTGCCTCACTTATTTACATGTAATTAGATTATGTGCGCAGTAATTTCGAATTCGACAGGTACTTGGAAGTTTGTTTGCACAACGTACGATTACAAATTGCTAATTACGCTCTATATGCTGCATAAACATTACGCAACAACATGCTTATTAGTGACGGGCCCCGATGACGACAATGTACACCATATGTGAAGAGCCATACCGAGTCGAGCCGAGCCGAAACGAAGCCCATTCTAAGTAGATTCAATCTCTACTAGGTTGATAGGCAACCGTGTGTAAATCAATGTGCCTTTGTGCACAAAACGCACACACATGCAAAAACTGAATGCGAGAATCTTCTTTAGAATTGGTGATATATGTGACATACGTCTAAAATAAATGTTATCATTTGAGAAAAGAGAGCCTAAGCTTCATGCATCAAAATTAACGTCTGCACACACACACACTCACACACACACACGCGCAATTTCGATCTTGTGAATCGTTGACGAACAATCCCGGCTCATTTAGATATCTGTGAATTTTCCCGCGTGTGTTTGCACCATTTACATTGTAATACATTTCAAAATAAATATTTACTCCGAATGTTGTGGAAAATGATATTGCATATCAAGCGAGCGAGCGAGCAAACGAACGCTT